TTCATAAAAACTTTACAGGCACTTGGAGAAATCATCCAGAAAACAATGTGAAAATTTAGGAATGACATGAAGACAAGTTAATGTGACCTAGTAATATTTTAGGTACTTGATTACTTGAAATACAACATCTGAATGCATTTGACCTTCAGGTTGCTGCAACAAGAATGACTTGACTTTTTTTTTTGTGCAGACTAAACAGCCCTGAAAGGAAAATCAATGGCTTAATTTAAGTTGTGAGCAACTCTCAACAGGTCTTTAGATTAGCCTATAAATAAGATTTTAAATATGTTAATAGCAAATACAAGAGGTGGCATCAAGGCCACATTCAAAATCTCACTGGCCGTCCCGTGAAGCAATACAACCATTTTAGTAAAATTTGCTACTATCCACCAAATTTGAATTCAGTAGCTGTAAAACTGTCACAAGGCCACATCCAAAATCTCACAGGCCATCCCAAGAAGCGATAAAACCATTTTGGTAAAACTTGCCATTACATCAACACTTGCTCTTGTCAAGGGCGGACACTTTTCTCCTCCTCTCCCTCTCTGCTTTGCTTTGTCCTGTCTGTAAAACTGCTTAGAGCCTCTCTTCTACAAATCTTCGAAATCTTAATTCTGCTATGGATTTGGTCAGTTGGTCCCTCATCGTTCTTGACAACATTTCTTCAAAGAGAAGACAGGCTTTATGTGAGCTAATTTGCCCTGTTGGCATGCACACAGCTGGATATCTTATCGACTTGGAAGACTTGATGATGCGTCTATCTCTGCTGTCATTCATGGATTTTAAGGACGCATAGATAAGTGGATTTATAATAACTGGTTTCCTACTTTTTGGATTCGTCTGGTTCCTGGTTTATCTACAATCAAAAAGAAGTAGCCGGCAGCAAATTTGGACCTCGTCAGGCTGCCTGCTTTATATGATGGCTTGGTTCGTGCCTCGAGCGCCTAGACTCAATTGCTTTTGGCAGGATAGATCAGATCTCGGGGATTACGACATGGTCCATTGGTATGGCCATTTAATTTGGACATTTCAGAACCAAGTGGACCGACACAGACTCAAGGTAGAAGTCAGTAAAAGTTCTGCCCATCTCCAAAACAATCGTGTTTATCTGAATTTGGCTCCCTGACTGGCCTTGCTAGGCCATCTTATCTTAATTCACCTGGAAGTTTTGTAAACCTGATGCTCTGCCCCTGCCTCCCCTCCTACCGAGGGAGTCTATGGACTATTCAGAGGGGCCCAGCTGAATAAACATTTGTCATCATTTCAGGACTCTTTGGATTCGTCCTTGGCCATCCCAGAATGTGTACGGATCTCTCCAGAGGGAATTATTTGAACTGAGCCATTTTATCTGAACTCTGCAGTGCCTCTGTGTGTTGTCTCTGGACATGCTCACCCCCTAGCTGTACAGGACACCTTGAATTGGGTTTACACTAAAAGCTTATTAGTTGTGGCTACAACCCATAACTGATGGCTGAGACTTGCATTAAAATCCACCCAATAGTTCATGAGATGTTTTACTGACAGATAAAGCACAAATAAACTACTGTATTTACACATGCTGATTAGACGCATTAAGGTTCTTTCTACCTTTAATGCTATCACACATTCACCACCT